GGGGATGTTAAAGCTTCGAATTTATCGGCACATTATGACAGCAGAAAGATATCATCCAGCAAGTGTACATAACCCAATTATGCCTCTAAAAAACTTGGATCGACCACAGTAAGCTCATAGCTTAAGAATCTTGCGTTTCTCAAAAAACAACAACACAAAAACAAGGAGAATTGATATTCACCACCGTTTTCCTAAATCGGCATACACCAAGACGAATTCTTACCAGAAACCACAAATCCTAGGTGTGGTGCAATTCTTCCCTGGATGTCTGGAACTGCATTGAGCAACAAGATCAACAGATTCACAGTGCACAAATTCACGATAAAGTAGTTTGTTGGAGTGTGCATATGCCTTTTTTTCTTAATAATGATGATAACGACAGCATTTCCAATAATGGAGAGGAAGATAATGATCAGAAATGAAGACACTTGGAGCCATTCTTCGGTAGGAGTGAATAATCTCGTGCAGCCAGAGGGCGTTGGAGATGTCATTGTCGCATTTGAGCTTGTGCCGTTCGTCATTCTCTTGATATCTTTCGCACTGTTGGTAAGGAATTTTCAATCACTTAATTTCCATCTGAGAATCGTATAAAATGTAAAAATAAATGACAAGTATTAGTATTTCGTTTCTAGTATCTGTTGTGACCTTGCACAGAGAACTTTATTAAACGTCACCTAAAAGTTATTTTCACCGTAGGTACCTGAATCCTGAATGAAAGAGTGTGTCCCTGCTCTTACTTAGGAGCAGAAGCCCTTTGTGTATGCACAGTAATTTCATATGCTGGCGTTTAACTTCACAACTAGTGTTACAAGTGTTTCACCCTTAATCCAACGATTGTTCCGAGGATTATTGCATACTGTGCATCGGGAAGTTGTTTAATGAAGAGAAGAAAAAGAGTATTTCAATATCGTTTCTTCTTAGAAAAGAAATTGTTGCTAAATCAAATGGAAAAAAAATAGATTAAGTCAAAATATTCTTTCCTAAATCAGTAGCGTATTTCTTGATTAAAATATTTCGACTTCTCTTTTAATTTGAAACTTAAGTTAGTATATATATTAAAATAAAAAGGGAATATTTGCTTTGAAATACAGGAAATTCTCAATTTTTGTGACTGGAATACACTTGTTCAGCCTATCATATTCGAAGAGATACTCTCTCTGAAAGAAGTGTTCCTAATTATGGAGCAACTCACCGATCTCCAAATTTCGACGCCATTTTGAAACACTGAGCGAAAGGATATTAAAAAGATATATCTTGCACACTTGTCAGCAGTCTGATCATGTAACTCCGCTTAGGCAACAGCAACAGCCAACTCTTCCAACAGAAAAACCAAAACGTATTGGATAGGAAGATATACTCTTAGTTTTTGATTAATTCTTGCAGTGAGTTTGTTTCATATTCTCGGCCGGCACAGGAAGCATTAGAGTGACAGCTGGTCAAATGAACAGGTTTTATATCAAGCGAACGGATGTGATCTCAGTGTCATTCTAATTGACCCTGCATCGATGAACTGATAGGTTGCTCATGCAGAAGATAAGCGAGAACTCGATAGAACTAGGCGAAGATATACGGCCAAAAGTAAGAACACTGTGGTTACGACCAAGGTAATCTCAAAAACGTTATAATTCTCCGCTTTTACCGTTCGCAGTGTTGTTCAGATCATAAAGCCATGAACTTGTATTGGCGAAACAGAAAAAATTTTCCATTGTTGAGCCATCAAATTCACCTCAAAACACTTATGAATAATCGCTACCAAAATCTGCGCATGATTTGATTCAGCCTCAAAATACGATATTGACACCATGAATGTCAATTACAGTAACATCTGAAAGTAATCACAAACGTATCACATACGCTTAAATCATAATTTGCAAGTACAACTATCAAACACGTGCCCTTATCCTTTTTAGTTTCGACCAATGAATGGTGCATGCATTGACGTTTCCTGTCCTTATCACCGGTCGATTCCTTAGTGTTGTACACCATTCCGCTGGTAATTTCCTGAAATGTAAGTGACTGGGTAATCGTAAGTCAATTTGGTTTCAGTTTCACCAGAGGCTCTTGTGAAGTTTCCTGCACTAATTAAGACAGGATGAATGAAATCTGTCTATTTGTTGAAATTCCATCTTTGAGCCATGGCGATGGAAAGGTAAAAGCAAGTGCTAATGATTTTCTTTGATTCTCACGGAACGTTTCGGAAAGCCCTTGTTTCTAAAAATTTTAAACTTAAGTTATTCTGAGTCTACTTACCAAAACTCGAATGAAAGGCGAATTGGACATATGCTACAGCTATAATCTCAGACGCCGTTTTAGCTCAAAAAAATTATGTATGATGGAAGAGTAAGTTTGTTTGCGCATCTCTAAAAGTTTAGCCCATATATTTTCAAAAAATGCTTCTCTGGCCCGTGTTAAATATCACCTTGCTTAATCATTCTTCGATTCCTTCTCTTCAGTTTCTTCATTTTGGCACAAAAAGCTACTTCGCCAGTAGTAATTTCTTTTTTTAAGACAAAGACAGGACTTCACATAGACTTGATTTCCGAAGATAAATTTAGCCTTCCGCAAAATTTTTATAAAAAGCATCGGTGGGGAGTGTTGTAACAATTGCGTTAGGAAAAAGTCCTTCGCCGACGTTTTGCCCAGCAGATGGCGAAAATGTTTTACTTTATGCTCTCCCTCGATGATGGCTACGATGGAATTGATATTTTTTTTAGTTTTTAACTTTAAAGATCTGAAAAAAGAGAAAAAATAGCTCTGTAAGATAGAATAAGACAGGCGGTGATAACCTGAGATGCGACACAATTGCATACGACAAACCTGGAAAGTGAAGAGTTAATTTGTGGAGGCGATATTGTTACTTTTCGGTGTGAGTGATTTCACACGATGTTTAGCACCAAAAAACAGCTGCAATCATTAATCAATGGGCAAAACATCAATAATCGTAGTATGGATCAGTGCGTGTTGAGTTCATGAGTTACTATTCTTATGATATCAGGTAGGGAGGTAATTCCAAATTACTCTGGGTGAAAAATGTTCTCCCTCTTTTCTTGCGGGTAAGAAACATACTGGCACTTAAATATAACCACTTTGTCATCCCTGGTAAGGATGTAGGTCGTGAGAGCTGTTGGAGGGGAAGGAGACTAAGTAACAGTAAGACACTATCTTTCTAGCGTGGAACAATATGCCTTCCGTCACAGCCAACACCAAAATGCAGCTCAGCATGGCTAAACCTGTGTACTCACACGAATTGGACAAGCTATTTTTTCGCATTTTGCACTTGTCAAGTTCAAGCCTTTGGAGTTCTTGGGCACGGAACGTTTGATAGTATTTTATGAAAGCAAGCCATAAATTTCCTTTTGTTATCAATCTTTCTACAAGGGGCCACTTCCCACGACGCAAACAGCCTCCTCAAGACGTTCCATCTGCTAAAATCAACAACGACCATTTAATCAAAGACTGGCGAACGGCGTGGCAAAATGCTTGGAAACTGGCTCAATTCTAGTCTCCGCTCTGCAGGGGACCGTTGCAGCGGGGGTCGAATGTGATAGAATCACAGGTCAACACAGGAAGTTAGCTTTAAAAAAATGGTTTGGGCTCATACCGCAATATTAAGAGTGTTTGAGCTTTTACTAAGGTTTAGTAGACGTATGACGAAGTACTTACTCATTTTCGTCAGCAGGTTCCAAAATTCATTTTTGCCAACTTTTTAGCAAACATACGTAATAGAGATACTTGTTTTAATTGGCTCTCCAGAGATTGCATATTTCATCACCAAAATTCCCGAGGTTTTGGCGTCGAAACGTTTTCCGTGAATGGCATCGCAACACAATGGCAAAGGCCATTGTGATCAGCAGCACTAGCATAACCTTCTCTTTTAAATCAGCCTTCATCTCAAATTTTTAAGTGTCAAACCAAAACATTTATCCGTGATAAAGAGTAGAAATGATGAAAAAAAGTTTTTGTGTTATCGATACAATGAACTAAACCCGTCAAAATATGCCTGGCAAAGGAACTTCGAGTCAATTGAACATCATTTGACCCTTTTAAAATGCTCCCCTAATTAACTGGTGCTGGCAGATAGTCTGTGATCTATTGCCTGAAAACATAAACATTTTCATTTTATGACAAGCCTAAGTAGTGCCAAAAGCTCAGATTCAATTGGATTGACATCGGCAGACGCTGCATTAGGCTTAAAAACGCATCTTTATGTCAAGACAAAGGGATTACAAGTCGGAACTGACGACAATATCAAGATAAGTGAATCGCCCCTCATAACTAACAATGTCTTCCAATTCCTAAAAGCGTTCTTCATACGCAATAACATATAATTCTTATAAAGGCATAACCTGTATTGCTCATTCAAGTGAGTTGTTGGTTTTAAAGATAAAGCGACTGAAGTCATCGTTTTCAAAGGCGAAACTGGTCCGTCGACGCTCTAACTAATTCACTAAGACAGGATCGCCAACAATAGACGCCATCTACGTATTGGAGGTTAGAAAAATTCATGTGTAAACCATTTTTGGACACGTTTCTTTAGGAATGAGTAAGTCAAGAAGGGAAAGGCGTAGAAAAAAGTAAAATTGATGCACATATAGGAAAGATTCTAGTAAATTTTGTCATATTGAAAGCAAAATTAGAATTGAGAGCTTCTCTGTGAGGTAATAATTTATTGTTGCAGCTGTAAAGCTAAAGATTTGGCAAGCTTAACTTTGATAAATTGTTTGAGCAAGGGTCGTCCCTCGTCTAAATTGTATGGTGGATTATAGTCGTTAGGTTACTCATTCATGAGGCAATAGAATAGGAATGTGAAAAATGACAGGAAAACTTGCTAACGGGTAAAAAATGATTTCGCGGCCAGACAAAAAGAAATTTCACCGTGTTAAAACCGCGTCGAACTTAAGTATTCGTACATTGTTATTTAAAAGCCAGACTCTCATTATCAGCTAATGACTTGGGTTTGTGATGCGTTTATAGTGTCTTTTCCAATCTTTATTTTGTGTAATTGAACTGATGTCTCTTTCCCATGCTTCAAGTACAATCAAGAGGGTGCTTCATGTACAATTATTTTGACAACATGAATTTTGTTTCTTGGGTTCAAAATGCGCGTGTCTCAACTTCAGAACTGCGAAACGCTGCACAGTTCGGAAAATAGAACGACTCTGGCACATCAAAGGCAACTTTTAACTCACCTTGAACAATACATTTTGAAATTTTCAGAGAAACACAATAGAAGGATATTTTCCAATTCAGGTCGAACACTACTCACTTTAATGTACTGTTAACAAACATTTTCCTAGTCCAATATCATCTGTAAACATACCAAACAAATAATCAACAGAACTTTTTTGATATTTCAAAAATAAGAAGGGTAGCAGAAGTAATCCATTTAATATTTTCGCTCGCTAATTGCTGTACCAACAATCATCTTCGTTTGCTGAGAAATTTGTTTTTAGCTCGAACTAAACTCTTGAAATAGCAAGAAAAACTGAACGTTACTTGAAATACTGATTTTTAAATTAGAGAACGTTAGCAAAGGAGACAGACTCTTCGTGCCTGTAGCTCTCAAATTCTAGAGATAAATTGGTAAGTTTTTGCAAATTCGTCCTCTCAGGGTTAAGTTAAAATCCTTAAGGTTTTCTTCGTCCCAAACTGAGTAATTGAATAAAAATTTTTTTGATTATCTTCCCAATGAATTCGTAGAATGATTTGCCTTACCTTTTAAGTTATTTCAGAACCTCTTTCCTCGATTCCTTTCTAGCTGTACTAACCAAATTATACATAATGAACTGCTAGTGTAATCAGTATAGATCTTAAATGGGATATGAATTTGTAACCCCACAGTGAAGTTTGAAAAGTCTGATCTTATTCAATAATATACTACACAGTGGTTGGTGAGGAGAACTCCATTTTGTTTAAGCTAGTTCAAATTGTCTCGACGATTCCCGCTGCTATTTTTCATTTTCCGGCCGACAATCTTCTGCAGAGAGCGGAGAATGTATTTGTTTAAACAAAGTGTTTGATTAACTTGTCATTTTGAAAACAAAAGCTGCAGGTGTGTGTTTCTCACACAGAAATACAGTGGAGCAATTAGCGCATTCAGCAGAAAAGTAATTTATTGTCTTATTGCGCAGTGTGAAACGCAAAACATCCGCACCAATGATCAAAATCAACAACTTCAGGGGCGTCATGAACCAACTCTGCCGTACAAATCAACAATGTCATTAGTTGACCCACGATGTCAACCTCGAAAAATTAACATCTAAACTACTATTATTTAGAAAAATGAACTTTCAATCGCTTGTATCGACGTGTTTACAACTACAAATGCCATTCTTCTATCAGGGAATGAGCATTCTAACACCGTATTTAGTAATATGACTAAGTATAACGATGTGTCTTTATGTTACTTTACTAAGATCCAGTTTCAAACAATGTTTAGTTATAGGTACAAAAAAGCAGTAAAGCATCGGGTAAGTCGCGATCAATAACTACAGGCGAATCTGAAATAAGGCTTTTATTTATTTTCTCAACCTCAATGAATAAAAAACATACTTCCCATTAAATTATTTTCAGAAATCTCAGTCGGGAATAAATAATAAATCTTTAGTTGTATATTACAACAGTATAAATGTTATTCAATTACTATCCTTTTTCCCAAACTGCCGCGTTCGGGTTAGATAATGCAGCCTTTTCGCTTCGAATAGTACACATCATTAGTTGTGGAGAAAACAAAACATACACAGAATGACTATTTGCTTTTCGGAAAAAAATGGTGATACCTTTTACATGGAATACTATCCTAAAATCAACCTCGAGAAGCTATTGTGAAATGATTGTTATTCTTCATTCGCTATTGTTACTGCAGTGTCTGTGATATTGAACATAAAGATCTTTCAAGACTTTTGTTTTGAAAATCGTTTTATATCCGTTCGGCATGTGTCTACAGAAATAGCTTAAGGGGTTTGTAATTGGGTTTCGCTACTGAAAACTGGACTGTACGTGATAGTAAAGTCTCACGACGCTCAGAGATCTGTTACGAAAACCGGCATCCTGAGTTCAACATTAACCAAATCAATCAATGCATTCATAAATGAACAATAGCACTCCACTAAAGTTGATTGAAGTTTTTAAAAGAGAGCGCTCATGATAATAGCCTGCAATCTAGAGTGGTAAATTTATGTGATGCTGCTCAATGAAGAATGCCTTCCTTTGAAAAACAACAGGACTCAAACTGCATTAGTTACCATAATAACCATCAAGTTTCGCAGTAGCATTGCAAAACCTAAAATAGATTATTGAAAATCTAGCAATTAAACAATCAGGACTGGTGTAAACTTTCCTAAAATTTAGATCGCACTAACACAACAAAGAAGAGCTCCAGTTTGGTTAAGAAAAGAAAACACTCGTTATAGAATACTTGAAATCAGCTCTGGTGACTCTAATCAATCCGCACGCGGTAAGAGATTATGTTCTAAATGCTTCTCAAATATTGAAAACGTATGTCGTAGTCTACTTTTATGTCTGAGCCATTCAACGCTTTGCTAATCAACACGAACACTCGCGCATAGCAATTACCAAGATATTGATGAAACACTGGCACTTAATAAAGTCCACATCTTCCCACTTGGTATTCTTGCCTTTCTTTAAAGTCATATCCTTACTTTTGAGTAGCTCATAGGTTTTTATGCGAAACATTAAGCATCTTATGGTTATGTAAACAGAGCTATTCTTTACTTACCTGAAAGCTGGCGGAACGTGATTTTATGCAGGCCTTTTGAATCTGACTTTTGCTTGATTTGCACATGCACGATCCACTCGGCTTTCGGTAGAAGGTTTACTACGTCAATAATTCACCCTCGCTCATCCGCTGAGACACTTCCAGTAACCAGATTGAAGTTAAAAAAAGTTACGCCTTCTCATTCCCATCGCCCTCCGTGGTCTTTGACAGCCCTCTCCCCGGGCCCCGCAATACAGCCCACGGATGCGACAAGATAAACTCACCGAGAGGGGAATGTATTTTTCTTTAAAACTAAATTACTGAGTCCAACAAATAAAAAAAGATACCAAGGCTGGTCTTAGACTCAGATATGTTATGTATTTATTAAGATATCTCTCAAACTCTACCAACAGATTTCAAAACATATTCACGACAACTTTTTTTATAACGCAACGATGAAAAAAACTATACTCTCCAGGGCGTATTTGACATATTTCAACACTCAGCCTTCTATATAGCCTACGTGTAGCCTTACCCTTCCGTTTCATTTTGTCCACACATAAATTCCACCCTCGCTCTTCCATAAAATACGCGAATCCCGTTCCAGTACGGCCCCGGCTTCCCTTACCAAACAAAGCCACCCTGGGCTCTCCAGTCATGATCCGATAATGCGCTCCTGTTCCAACATAGAGCCAACATTGTTCCAATACTGTGCAGAGTATGGTGACCTTGTTCAATAAGAACCGTCTTCAAACGTTTCCAATAATCTTCAACTCTGCTCAAACATCGGCTGGAAATTGTTCGTTCTTAAGTACCCAGAAAAAAATTGTGGCATAGCTCTCTTCTTTAGTAAATACTATGTTAAAAAAAAGCTAGAGATCTTGTCTCGGATCACCTGCATAAACCTGTTCTTTAACCATGAAAAATAACAGAAACGACACGCGGTTTCTCTCATTGAGTTATGAAGACGAGGGTTGTGGTGGCGGACTCGGCTCAAGTTTTCTTTTTTCGCAAATTTCGCGCATGTTTTATTCAATAGCAACAAACACACTCTTCGTATTGTTTTGCAGTGAACGAAAGCTCGGAAAAACCGCTAAATTATGTACCCAGGCTCGAATTGATCGATCTTTACTATAAAGTAAAGGTGGAAATCAAAGTCTCCTCATCACGCTGTGATTCTCAGCGCTGATCTTTTATCGCGGTGTTATTCTCAATATAGCGGCCGAAGGCTTGAGTGCCTGCATAGCGTTGCTAACTGGCATACGTGCATGTGACCTAATCCGGCAAGGGGTTTATTGGTTACCTTATTTTTTTAATACCCCGACTACTATTTTACAAAAACTGATATTGAGACTTGTAACCTGATGAACTGTGATGACTGACATGACGTATAGCCTGATGTTTGAGAGTCGCAGAATTACAAAATGCTCCGAAAATTTTCATTTTAACTTTTGTAACGAAGCACATTTGTCATAAAACTTACAGTTACAAATCGACTCATGCCATCAAACGGAGTAAACAAAATTACGTGTCCATTTTCGTAATTTTGGACTTAAGATCGTGCGGTAAAAACAAGCTTTAAACCCGAAATAAAAGCATTTTATTCATAGCAGCTGTATCCTAGTAAGTATGACAAGGGTTTGACCTAACTATTTGACCAATCGGTGGCTGATCAAGCCGGGAGGACGAACGAGGTAAGCCACGACACTGATCTTTATCCGAACTATTTATCTTGCGTTAACGAAAGGCCCCAATGCATCATGGGGTGGAACACAGATTACTAAAACGGCAACACTTAGCAACAGGAAAAGTCAGTTTGCGGCGTTTAATAAATTTCCATCGACAAACAAAAGTGGCATGTTGCACAGGAAAGGGTCATGTTTGCTCGGCCATTCAACAGTTCCCTTTGTGACTGTGTCATCTGTCAACCTCCAGCTAGCTAATGAAAAGTCTGGCTAGGTGAGTTTCACATTTCCCCGTTTCTTATTACATCCAACGACTGATAACTGCCACATAAGTCTCCTTGTTTTGCACAATTATTTCTTTCTCGTCTTCACGCAAATCGACGGTGAAAATAGGGCTGGTCCGGGAAGCGTTTGTATTTTCATACGGAAGATTCCTTGTGGCTGCTTCAAAAACCGTGACAAATCTTTGAGGTAAACATATGCTTTGATCCAAACTTATTTTACGAACAAAGTTACGAGAAGATAAAAAAATTCTTTCGCAAGGGACCTTGTCTCAATAGAATAAAAATTGCGAGAAATTATCTTGTAATTAGTGCGCTTCAGTATACAGAAAATGTGGCAATTTCAATTTTTTATACTTTCCTCCACGTTTTTGGCTCAAGATACTTTTTTAGCACAAGCCACTTAGTATCAAAACGTAACATGCAGTAGTGATTTTTTAGCAAAATCCAAAGTGTACTTATTTTCGAAAGATGAAAAAAAATCAATGGCAGCAACTCGCAACTTTTTTAATCGAACAACCTTAAAGATGTAAGAGGAAAGCGTATTTCCCTCCTAAATGTGTGTTTTTTGATATTGTTTTCCTATAAAGAAAGAAGAGACATGTAACAAAGCCACTTCTTAGAGATTGTATCTAGCAAAAATCCTAATTTTATTATTTTCCGGATCAATCTTGTAATGCTAATTTATTTTGACTTTACTTTAGCTGATGAATAACGCCTATCACACCACGATGATTAGAATTGTTATTTAATAAAACGAAAAGACAAACACCAGTCTGCAGAAAAACAAACTCTCAGTGATTTTGTGATATTTCCTGACAATATTTGTTGTGAAAAAGTGACTAAATTCGGATTAGGTCAATATTTGTCCTAGGTTTACAATACTCGTTGCTTTTTGTAAATATCAGAGTTTCTGAGGCGCGGTTTGCCTTCTCAATCATGGTTTTAATTTTGTAAACATGAAAGGAGCCATCTGGTGGTAAAATGCGGTTTATGGTTAAGATGAACCGAAAGCTATGATTTAGGAAGTCTGTGTTATCAAATGAGAGATAAAACCACGAAGGTGTTTCTTTATAAAATGTGGAACCGCGGTATTTAAAAGAAATGATAAGGAACATTTTCCCATCTAAATTACGTACATAGTGAGCATGATACTGGCCTATTTCAGCCACCAGATTGAAGTGCATGACAAATCATATTTGTTAGATTTAATTGCCTTCGCTAAGTTCACAAATTGAGAGAAAAAAATGTCATTTCCGTAAACATAGTCTAGATTTTCCCCTACAAATTACATCCGGCTTTGCGTTTTTTTCTGCCCAAAAAGATAAAAAATAATAATAATAAAAAGCTGGGGATCAATCAACTTTCAAGCGTATTAAGTACTACATGGTACCTGTGGTTTTTTGGACCGACCTCGTGGCTCCAGCTTTGAGTTGCATGGTGATGGAAAAAATTCCTTAGAGCCTCACAAACTGACGCTATCTCGACAATGTCTCCGTTCTTGATGTCTTCGTAAGAATTATGACGTAACAGGGCTACATTGTGTAAAATGATAAATATTTTTGAGAAGATACGGTTTCATTTCTTGGATGGGTCTTGTAGATTTTGCCCCTTTGCACGCAACCGAAGGATCGGCTAACCTGTACAAAAGAAATTAAGAATTTCAATCATTAAGTTTGTAAGTAATCATTTCCATCATTGCCTTAATGCCACTCGTAGTTGAAGGTTTGACATTTGCATGGTGATCATACAAATCAGGGTACTTTTCAGAACCTTACTGAGAATATTTAACAGCATATAGCAGTCAACAACTTAAATTCCAACTTTATAAAGCTGTAAAAAAGTCAATTTTAAGAGTGAAATATGCATACAGAACGGTCCCACCTGATTTGTATACTCTTTCTTTACATTTTTAAGCTCTCCTCTGCTTGATTTGAGCAGATAATTTGGTATAAATGGAGTCGTTGTGTCATTGTTTTATTCTTGTTTTGTAACTTCTCTTGAACATTTAGCTTGTTGGTAGGTGAAGACCCATAAGTCAAAATGAAGTACGGCAACTAATAATGATTTTTAATATTTTTTATGATATTATTAACATCATCATCATTATTATCAGCATTATTACCATTTTCACAGTCTAGCTCATTGGCTTATGTTTCATGACATTGGTAAAAAAAATAGAACTAGGTGCCACCCCGAGCTTAAACTAATGCTGAGGGAGTCCGAGGATTTGATTCTCCCATTAGTTTTTTACACAACAGCAAATTTAAATTGTTCCATAGTGGGCCAATGCTAATGGTGGGGACAAAATAATTGTTACTAAATTTAGAGTAAATTCCACATGGAATTTGTTACTGGGCTAAAAACATAGCAACATGATCATAAGTCTTCACGGAGGAGAAGATTGGTCATATGACGAGCTATTGCAAACAAGTATAAATTACGAAACTAGCCACAGTCATGCGCATGCTTAGAAAAACAATTTGGTTTCATAATCTTACCAATGCATCGGAGCTACGATCAGTGAACTGACAAGAATGATAGTTTTAACAGTATCATAAAAAGATTTCAATTTCGAGGGACTGATCGTACACTGATATTTCACAGATATGGAGTGAATATTAACGGACTCCATAACCTTCAAATCAAAAATAAAAATTATAGCCCAATACATTGCTGTTTCACCCACACATCTTTGTCCACTCCTACAACATATTTTCTAATTGCGTTAATGAGTCATAGCTCAAAACAGTATCTGCTTGTAACAATGCAATTCGTTATAGTAAGGTGCAAAAATTATAACTGAAATTCTGAAGTGAAAGGTGATTTTCTCAGAAACTATTACCAGCGTATGGAACCGTGGTTGGATAAATCCTACAGATTATTTCACCCTACTTTATTGTTTTTATGAACATATCGCGCGTTTAAAGATAGTTACAAAAATAACAACTTCTACGAGTTGTAAAAAGAAAGAAATACAGACAAAGTTTATAAGAAAAAAAAAAACTCAAAATTTCACTGAGTCATTATATCGCACCGTATTGAGTAACAGTTATGTTCGCTATACTCATTTTTTTACCTCATGCGTTTTAAACGAGAAAACATCTGGGTCAAAACCTATAGCTTGTGCCGATCTATGAAATGAGCTTTACATGTTTGCTTCAAAAAAAAGCACCCCTAAATCAATGTCATCAATTTGAACCAAGAAAGCACTCTTGACTTTCAAAGGCCTATTTTCAAATCATTATAGATCGCTCTAATACTGCATCATGGGTCATATTTTAACTGATATCACTTGCCCATAGAGTCTTAAAATGAAACTGAGCTATAAGAAACTGGATTTTTGGTGAGGAGGAATCTTTGATAGGTCTGAAAATTCCCTATGCGGTCATTTATTTAAGTTTCACCTCTTGCTCACAAGTGACGTGGATGTATTTGAAATCTCTATATATCCCTCACTGTAGACTTCGGCTAAAATCGGCAGTTGTTTTTGCTCAATGGCCGCAAAATAAGGCTTATTTGAAAACCAAATACATCGAATGAACTACAAACCTTAAGCCAAATGCAGTTCCTTTTCAGTTAAGGGGAAGGAAATCGCTTCAAAAAAGCCATAACTGAGGTGCCGCCAAAATGTAAATCAGGAGTTACCACATAATGAGAACTTCACTATTATAATCTTTCCTTTACGTAAGATCTCCCGGGTGCTTTATGTCTTTGTATTGAGCAACACTGAGTTTTGTTAAGGAAATCTGTTTTTTTTTCTTTTCAAAATACCAGGCGGTTCATTCAAACGCAAATGTACATCTGGACAGCCCCGGGTCATAAACGCTTCAGTTGCGGTTGATAAAAACATGTCTCCGCGACACTAAATAGACGAGACTTTACAACTAGAAAACTTCCTTTTAAAACCCAGTCATCGTTTTAAGGCTTCTTCTTGATATATTACTCACTGTTTTTATGTTTGTAAGTAGTGATGAATAAAAAGGCTATGTGTCATCCACAAAATTTGACTGAGATGAATTCAGCTTCCATCCGCTGTAATTGAGTGATGAGGGAGGGTGTATTAATGACAAATGGAATTCAGTTACCATCAATCGCTAAAATGATTGTTATCTCAAGATTGTCTTGGTGATTCTTCTCTCGTTTCAAAACAACTGTTTTCATCAACTCTGAACCGTTTTTTTTTTTTTATCCATGGCCAGAATTGCTTCTTACTAGGGTCAAGTGGAGCAATTGGGAAAGTTTAGAGAAAAAAAGAACGAAAAAAAATCATCGAAATTATAGAGGAACAAATGTAAATAACTTTCGGCAGTGAATGTTAACTTAAAATGAAAATTACTTTCTTTAATTGTCTTTAGTCTAATGGAAAATTTGTTTCAACCAATTCGGAACTGAATGTCACTTTTCATGTTAAATTTCCTTTCTGAAATGTCTTTAATCGCAGTTCACCTGCCGGTGAGGATCAGTTCTATAAATATTTTTCATTTTGTTTATCATAGCCCTGGTTGAGCTATTTTTATCTTCAAAAACTCAAGGATGTAAAGTAAACGCAGTTTGATAAGGAACAGTTTTGCGATGTAAATATTGTTGGGGTTGTAAGAGGTACACATTAGCTTTGAATAACAATGTTGAACAGCTAGAAGCGACATCTTATAAATTTGACATCCCTAAGTTGGTAAAGTACCAAACTAGCCTGAAGCCAGTTGAAGAAGATTCTGAAGCGAAAAGTAGTTTTTTTCTGACTTTTTTAAATATAACTCAGAACTGCAGCGCTACAAGAGCATTTTACATCGGTCAACTTTTCTCTGAGCCTAATTCTTACGAAACATACTAGGCACGTAACATGGGACTGGAAAAGGGTCTTCTTTTGTTACGTGACTGTTTGTTCTCTTTCCCAAATCTCATGGGCGATTATAACTACTGGAAAATTTAATTGTTAGAATTAAAATGAAACTGTAGCATTTCACCTCAGCTTTGAAGTCAGCTTTAAATGTTGTATGGAAAAAGGGAACTCTAAATAAATTAACATAAAGGCATTATTATTTCATAATAAACATTTTCAGAAACCTTTAACGGGTTCATCAGCGAGAAAATATAGGTGGCCGGTCAAACCTCAATTAAAGAGCGTTCAATTCATATACAAACAAGAAAATTCTGACATACAAGAGTTCAAGAGCTCTACAGTTTGAGTGAGATAAAATCATGGGTTACATTTCCTTGAATTTTAGCCAGACTAAGTGCGAAAATAACATCTTTTAAGAAAAGCAAGTGAATTGTGTGCGACGCGAACCTAACAACAGCAGCTGCAAAGAAGACCTTGCTTATCTTTGATGGTCCTCTACATTCTTTTTCAGAACAATTATTCTCCTTTCCATCTTGCGCCTCAAACTTCTTACTCAGTCTAACCTTTCGCTGGATATGCGGCTATGTTTGTTAATCAGCAGTGCATCAAACAGCTGGACAGAATGGTCAATGCAAAGTGCTGATTTTAAAGATAAACTTTTGCCTGTATGAATTCCTTTTCGGTAACCAATAAGGAGTCATCCTTGAGTCAGCCGCTTGTGGTGTCTTAGTCATGCGATTAGCTTAAAAGAGCCGATTGTTTGGTTCACCGTATGTAACTTGAATTTGTGATTACCAGTTCTTTTCTTTTTTTGTTTTTGTTTTTGTTTTTTTTTCAGGTAAACTTCTGAAAGTGATCATCTAAGTAGGTACAAGTTCCATAGAGCGAGATGAACAACAGTAGTGGGGCTGTTGAGGGCAACCAAGGATCTGTGACAACATGTCCTCATTGGGATAATTCTTCTGTACTCCAATGGATCAAGACTATTGTGTACCTGTTCATTGTATTTTTGGCCCTTTTTGGAAATACCTCGGTGATATGGATAATATTCAGGCATCGGCGAATGCGAACAGCAACCAACTATCTCATTGCAAATATGGCGGTGAGCTTAATTTTAACCTCATGTCATCACAAAGCTTCTCGAAAAACTAGGAAATTGTGGCATTTAGAAAGGCTGAAAAAGTGTCGTGCAATTGTTAACATTTCTTTGGTATGATTCTATCGTTATGTAAAACTACTGAAAGAAATTGATGCAGTCATCTCCAAAAAATATAGCAACAGATACTCGACTTATCGTTAAGGACTTCTTTCATTCAGAGAGAGTTTTCATTATTCAACGACACTCGGGGTAACCCTGCAGTTCAGCCGCCGTATTAATCTTTCCAATCTTCCCCAGCATCGGTTTAGATTACTTTGGGCGGTATAAATTCAAAATGAATTCGAATCATGTGAAATACGGCGTCTGGAGTGACTCTTACAGGAAGCATGAGCACACCCCATATTACACAGGAGGGTTTTAATTCTAACAATATATCTTTCAGGTTGGGGATCTGTTGATGGCTATTATAACCATGATACCCAATGCAGTGAACATTCTACGTGGGAATCACGACTGGGTCAACGACTCGCTCTTTGGACAAGTATCCTGCAAATTGTTTATGTTCACCCAAGCTTCTTCAATGGCCTGCTCCATATTCACTCTAACAGCACTGGCACTTGAGCGCTTCTTTGCAGTTGTTTTCCCAATCTGGAAAGTAGTTAATATCAAGCGAACAAGATGGCTGATTGGCGTCATTTGGATGGGATCAATCGCCTCAGCATCGCCGATGTTGTATGCAGCCAAAGTGGAAATCTATGACGGAGCTCCCTACTGCCTCGAGGACTGGGCCCCCGCTTTCGACGCAAGGCGATCGCAGTCGATCTTTACCATTGTGTCATTTGTACTCCTTTACGCCCTGCCTCTACTTTTGATTTCTATATTGTACTCAATCATCATTGCCAAGGTATGGGGTAGGAATATACCGGGTAATGCTACTCCGGCCAACCAGCGGCTTTTGAACAGGTCAAAAAGAAATGTACTGAAGATGTTGATTACAGTGGTTTTGGCGTTTGCGCTGTGCTGGTTTTTGATGCACCTTAATGTGATTTTGATGGACTTCACAGACGTTTTCTCGCCTTGTGGTATCTCCATAGGACTACAAACCACGGGTTTTCTCTTCGGCCATGCAAACAGTGCCATCAACTGCTGTATCTATTTGATATTCAGCCAGGATTTCCGAAGAGGAATAAAGGATATTCTTAAGCCCCTTTTACCGAACCGCACAGCGACATTACTTGTTGATAACACTCGAGCTGGTTCTTCTTTGGAAGCAACAATTGAACTCAAAACCAGTAACAGGCAGGGTAGACCGCAAGCGAGATCATTTAAAATCATACAAGTTTAGATAAGCCTTGATTTTGAGGTGTTACTCGCGATTTTTTCACTCGTCACGGAGAATCGCCTATCAATGTAATGAAGCTACGAAAAAGCTGATGAAAAGATCATAAGCCATAAGGTAGCCATTTTGAGAAGAGGAAAGATGGATGCGCTGTAACGTAGCTATTGTGAGAAAGTTTTAGATAAGATGGCTCCAGAGAAGTTCTTTGTACTTATCAACCCTTTTAACCCCTAAGAGAGACCAACATCTAATTTCCCCTTTACTTTATGACCCCCTGAGTAATAATAATAAAAAAAAACACGAATATCAAGGAAATGATCGCCAACTAAAGAAACTCTTGATTGTTACACAAATTCTCCTTGTAAGTACCTCAAGAAATGAATAGAGAACATTATAGAGAATATGCATACTGATGTTACGGTGGAAAGTGTTAAACAAGGGAACGAATTTAAAGAGTTCAAAGCTGATGTCATGATTCTGTAAATAGCCATTCATGATTCCAATTGTCTCTTTGATTTTTAAAAGTTTTCTCTATTGATCACTACTCTGTACTATGAAAAGTTAGATTTCGCGTGAGTCCTGAAGGAGTCAAAATAATTTAATTGATTCGCACTTGATTGATTCTTATAACTCAGAATATGCGAGTTTCTTAAAACAAGTGAATGAATGAATCGATAAATCGAAATGCGCCTTTCAACCAATCCTCCCGGCCGTTAAAAGAGAAATATGTAAGAGACCATATTGTTATCTTCGTCATTAATAAGTTTCTTCAAGAGTTTGTTATTTACCCCTGTTTGAGATTCAACAGGATGACTTAACCTCTTGTGACTATTTTCAAATGTGTTAACAAAAAGATAGTGGGCGCCGCAATTTTGAATCTTGCTTCGCATCCTAACCGCTTACTTGTGATTTTCTGGGTGATCTGTTTTAAACAGTTAGGAATTTCAGTGTGTGATCTGTGAATATCATACTCCATTTTTCTTATGGCGGAGATAACAGATACACGGTTTCAAGATTATACCTTAAAAGGTGCAACAGTGAAATGGATAAACCGTTGAAAATAAGGCCGGATTCAGTGAACAGAAAACGAATTTATGTACATTCAAAATTCACACACTTTAAATTCTACTTGTTCAATCGCGTAAAATAGCTTGGGTGTTCAAAAAACATAAAAGAATATAATGACGACATTCAAGGAACCAATGAAATAAAGGAAATGACTTTGTAATGGTGTACGGTTGTGAATTTCATCAGTCAGTCATTCGAAGTTAATAGCTGCAGCAGAGTACCCAATCAATCCAAAAGCGAACAGAGGCTGTGATTTTAAAGAATAGCCCAACTCCAGATTTCCTTCAAATCGATTATTAAAACCTGTAGCCTTGTCTTGACACTGCTCACTTTCATTAACATTGACATACTGACGTTTGGCAAAATTGCAAATGTTTAGAATGCGTAGCCGGCCCTTTGTTTCTCAGCAAGGGAACAGTTAATGCAAACGCTTCTGGTATTGTGCGCTTCAATTGGTCCTTTTTGAGACAGGACGTACCCACTCATAAAAGAACTAATTTTATTCGTTGGGATTCAATTGTTGAAGGGACTGAACAAAACGCTTTCAATGATTATATATTTTGGTGTTTCTACATCGTGCAGTCAAGGTTGACATTTCTGGCTCTCCGTTGATTCCAGCCTACAAAAGTAACTCAGTCGTCCGCATTTCCCACCCACTCTGTCTACGCATTAAACTATCCAGCTGGATCTCACAAATTTCCTCATTTTCGCTGATGTTTTGAAACGAACATAGTTTAGACTAAGAGGCAGAAGCTTACTAATTTTGGAATTTAAGTGTGACGAAGTTTGCGGATATCATGGGATGAACATTTCTTCATATATGAGAGATTCAAGAACAGCAGGGCTCCGTGTTCACACGAGGTTTTCGTTTTAAAAATTCTCGTGTCCTTTGATTCGAATTTACCATTATTTCAAATTTTCGTGCGTAATTCTAAAAATTCCAAAATTTAGAGATAACTGTTAACCCCTAATAAGTCTCTAAGTAATCAGTAAACACACAAACAACAAAGACTGGTGTTGTAAGGTTCTGATGTGACAAATCGTTTCGAATCGTGAAATCGTTTCGTTTCCCATTTTCCCCTACGACCCTTACTTCACACTAAATACAAATTAACATCACATGCCTTTCACTGGACAATAGGAGCAACTCGAGAAAAATTTATAATAAGATACATTCTACAAGCCAGACCAGACTAATCCTCGGCTTTTTTAACAAAAGAGGTTCCCTTTCTGCATACAATTTTATCAGAGTAGTGGACAAAAACAAAAAAAATTCAATGACCTAAACAAAATTGTCTTTATAAATGGACCGACGATAATTATCAGTGTGTAAATTATACAACGACGTTAAGGCAGTTTCCACAAATCTTTCAAATTTTAATTTAAATTTAATTTCGTGTTAATTAGGTTCCTAAGAAATGAGGTGCACTTGCCTGGTTAACCCTGTAATTTCTTCACACAAAAGACAGCATTAATAACACAGAAACCAAAAAGTCCAGAAGGGGTAAAACGAAGAATTCTAAATAATTATTACACTTAATTATGGGGCATTGTGACACATTTGCGAGCTAAAATAGGGATTTTTGCGGTCTAAAATAGACTCGTGTGATTGTTCACGTACCTTTGTGAACTATGGTGAGAGCCGTGACTGGTTGTGATTTTTTTTTTTTCCAGTTTTTATTTTCTCGACGCCTCCTAAAATTGATAATAATAGTAATACCGTTCTGTTCTTGGGCATAAATATGTTTTGGGCCCTTCTCAGAGCTAATTCGAACCCTTGCCTAGCGGCTCGGGCAAAAATGACTTTGAGTGTGGCCCAAAACATATTGATTGTGACTTCCGCAGAAATCTTTGATCTTTATCCAGCATTGGGTACTTTTAGAATCTAGGAAAATAAGACTAGAAAGCTAAGGTGACATTTTTTTTACTTGATGAAACAAAAACTTATGATAGGGGAGAAAATTTGCAGTGTTGATGAGTTAGACTTGACAACGACACTTGTCGTAAAAGATGTAGGAGAAATTCTACTCCATTGAGTTCTTTTTGATTGGTATTCTAACTGCTTTAGATGGCGAACAATTATCCTAAGAATGTGCACTTATTAGTTGTTAAGAAAAACTTGCTGGAGTGATCGCAACTCGCCAGAATTGGTTAAAATCTTTCAGACTGATAAATCTATAATGATCGTAGCATGGGGTTTTCTTACAACCTCAAGGTTTTACCTCACAATCGCATTTCAAATTGATATGCATGAACCTGAAAAAAGCTGCTTCCTTCTTCAAATCTCCGGCTTGTGGCTGAGATTTTATGTGACGATAGTGAGTTCGGTAAAAGCTAAACAAAACTGGTCCGTTTACACGCGAAAGCACCAACACTGAATAAGTGCAATGTTCTCCAGCGATTACTCGTTATTAGATAAGTCCATCCATTTACGACAGTACCAACACAGATTAACTGCAACGCTCTACAGTGATTCTTTTGCCATATATGACTCCTTCGTCAAGTCTTCCTTATAGAGAGCCTCCCTACAACTCTTTTTCGTCTTCCTGTTGATGATAAGAAGTTAAAACAAACGGCAATTCAGTGATCAACAAACTTTCATGCGAAGAAATGGAAACTTTACATGATTTAGTGTCTATCACCAAAAGTATATGTAAGACAGATAGGAGCAGATTTCCGTCTCTCATTCTTTCCGTACCAGTTTCAGAGAGTGTTTTGCTTTAAGAGAACTAAATTGTGCAGGGTTTATATATTTGTTTAGGTGAATTATCAGGCCAGATCCTAGCACAAATCTGTACGTTACAACAAACAGTTTGCATTACTCCAGTCATCGTTTTAAGCTCAGAGTATTGTCACGTACCATACACGCGGATTTTAGTTAAACAGCCTCTAAGTGAACGTTCTGAGATATTCCAGAGTTACATCAAGTGATTAACTCGAGAAGAAACGACTTCAATTTGATCACCAACTTACCGTGTTCTGTTGATCTTTGGTGGCAGATTCTACAGAAGAGGACTGACTAAGTATTTTACTGTCGAGGAAAATGCTCGGGATGCTGGGACCAAAGAATATCTTTGTATTTGATGCAATGGAATTGAATTTGATCTGCTCCAGGTACTCAGGTGTGAGTTTTAGCTGCAGAGAAATGGAACACAACTGTATGTAAACTGGCTAAAAACAGTAAACGAGAATTGCAACTTAGCTCGAGTTTCCTTTCAACTTTGAACAGCAATGGTAGTCAATTCTCTCAGCAAGACAACCTTTGGTCTCATGCACAAAAACACAAATATACTTAGAAGGAACATCCCGAGAGTGATCTTCAGCAAAAAAGGAATTAGTAAAGACGATGGCTACAACTGCCATGATACGAAAGGGTTGAAAAAGGAAAAATCTTTTCGGCAGCTCTGACCGCGTTTAATAAGTTTCCATCTCACCTCTGTGGTCATTTTTGCCCTGGCTGTAATCCTTGCTAAGTGTACCTACAAACAGTAGATGTAAACATGATTTACCTTGTTGGCCTCGGCGAGTTTAACTGCAGTGTAGAATTCAGCATCAGCTCTTGCCTTCATGCGAGCCAAATGGGCACCATCTACAGAGCAAAACAGCAAAATGTACAAGATCTTCCTTAATAATTAAAGGGCCATTTCTCAAAAACTTTAGTTATAGTATCCCAAACAGAGGCACTCCTCTTCTAAACTATAAAAAAAGTAACCATAACGATTGAAGATATAAGCAACAATTCTAAGCAGCCATCATTATTATTACTGATGCTTCCTGGAAATAAATTTATAATACTTGTATGCTGGCCTACAGGATCAATATCTTATGCTGTGGTACCTCTTACAGCCGAGTCACATCAAAGATGCAACGTTGCTTGAAAAGAAATCAAGGAATTTGAAAGAACAATTGACAGTTAAAAAAAATGAAAGTAATAAGCCCATTTTACTGACAATGAAGTCCCACTAGTTGTACGTTAGTTTCTTGTCATATGTTATTCATGACCAAACATTCCCTCTACCTGATTAATTTTCAGTGCACTTGACAACAAGGATTGATAAAGTTATTTCCTAATTTAAATTCAAGAAACACAACCACTTGACAGGAATATCCACAACTTAAATACAATGTGGCAACAAACTCAAAAAACGATCAGAGACAAATAAAAACAACAACACCACAACCTACCCTCAATCTCTGACATTTTCCTAAGGCTCTCTTTTTCCATTATTTTCTGATCAAACTGAATCTTGGATACCTGAGCAGCCTTCTCAGCCTCTGAGTTATGGCAACAAATAGGAAATCAAAACCAATTGTAGGCAAAATATTGAAAGGAAAGTTAACTGATTTGTGGAAATGCAATTTGAAAACCCTCATGGCATCCATTCTTGGAGTTGTTGCCTTTATCAGGCAGCCAATTTAAACATCATTGGTTAAGTTCGAACCCAAGAGAGGACATGACAATAGCCGCTACACAGCACAATAAACCTGGATTTTGGTTATGAAAAAGGTTAAACAATTAAAAATTGGTTCATACATCAGCGTGCGTTCATAGAGATATGAAGCACACCCGAAGTTTGGAGAGCATGAAAGAAGCGTAAGAGTTGTTTGAGGCATAGCCAAGAGCAACTCTAGCTTCTTGAGTGCTCTCCAAACTTCCCAGGTGCTTCATATCTCGATGAACTCACAGCTGACGTATGAACCAATTGTTTTATAACATTTTCAACTCGATGGAGAATTTTTTTTCTGGAAGGATTTGTTAGCTGACGTACGAATATGAAGCACGCTCACGCAATTGAATTTGATTAGACAAATTTACTAGCTATGTTATAACACCTGTTGAATAAGTCATTGTGTTGTGAGTTGATCCATCAAAAAGTAGCGATTTTATCATTAATAACATTGAGTAACACCTTTCATTTAGATGGGAAAAATCTGTTTTACAGGTACAAAGAAACCAAAGTCATGTAGCTGTGTTATTTAAGTTATAATCTGTTCTTTTTTAAAAGAGAATTTAAATGTTTAATACCAATAACAGCTTTCTTGCGCTCTGTCTCTGCCTCTTTCTCAACCACTTTTTGTTTTTGTTGAGCAATTAACAGCTTGGTCTTCTCCCCTTCCCTGCAAGTAAAAAGGAAATGTACAAGATTGAGATGTGGCTGAGTCATTG